AAAAAACCTTGAAATACAGTCAGCAGTATTGGTGATTACAGAGGGAGAACTTAATTTACAACTAGAGCTAATATTTTATTTGAGCATAGTCTAGCCAGCCACCAGACTAAGCACATTTCAGGGCTAAGACCTTTGGTCTATATAGCCACCAGCAAGATGTCCATGATTTATGTTCATTTTGTCATTCAGAATGTGGAGAGACTGAGTGATCAGCTTAGGTGCACCAGGCTGCCAGGTCCTGGACCTTCACTGAAACTCTTGTTCTTTTGCTCAAAACCTGGCCATTTAAAGCAAGATTTCTTACTCTAGATTAACACAGGTTTTGGATGGATGGAAGTTGCATTTTTCAGAGCAGCAGCTCTTGCAAAGAGTGAGCGCGCTTGAAAGGAGCAATACAGTGTCCTAATTACCTGTGGTAAGGAAAACATCTGTGTAGGCAAGGTAATGAAATTAATTCTAACATCTAGCAGTTGCATACATTAATTGACATTAATTAATGCCAAATTACAGTATGCTTTCTGTGGAATCGCACCATACACTCACTAGAATTGAATGTGGAAAGAGTTCATCATGCTTAATGCTATTACAGCAAGCCCCTAGGGTAATAAGAGTGATTGGTCCCTCATTATGAAGTGCAGCCAGTTTCTTTCTGTTTGCCTTAAGAGTAGAAATGGAACAAACCAGGAACACTTTTCCATAGACAGGCTACTCCAAATTGATCAGTTCCTCTTCAACCTGAAGATTTCACTTGCAGCCCCTGTGAGTAAGAATTGGTTTGAAGACTTCCTGCAAAGGTTATTCTTGTGTCATCTAGTGCAACTCTAATTCTCAGCCCAAAGACTGGCCCATTGCACAGCTCGACCATTGTATGTAATAAAAGGAATAGAGGAAGATAGAACCTCAGAGGAATTAGAGACAGTTGGTTTCACAGACCCACTGGGACTCCCTGCCACTCAGCAAGCTGAGAGGTATTGGACTGGGAAATTGTACTCAAGTTGCCTGACTTGTCACATTACTGCATCTCCACTGTTGTTGACATTAGAAATAGATAGATATCTTCTTGTGCAGACATACATATGTAAATATATCTATATATAGATGGGTATATATATATATATATGTAGTGTGAATTTCAGGTTCATAATATACATATTTTGGTAGCCTACTTTTAAAAAACTTTTATTTTGGAATAATTTTTGATAAACAGGAAAGTTTCTGGGAGGGTTCAGAGTACATAGACTCTATACCAAGCTTCTGATAATATAAACATTTTGGATAACTTTGGTGAATTTTTTAAAACTAACACAACCTATAGCTGTTCCACTCTTTAGTTATTTCTCTTTTCCTGGCCATTTTGTTTGTTCCAAGCTCTGTTTTTCTAAATATATTTATCTTCTAATTCCATTTTTCCATGAACTTCAAACATTTTTTTTTACTTAGAGAGAGAGAGATAGAGAGAGAGAGAGATGGAGACAGACACAGATTTAAAGAGCACCTATCCACTAGTTCACAACGAAACTACCAGAAATGACCAAATCTATAGGAGCTATGAAGCCAGGAGCCAGTAACCCAATCCAAGTTTTCTCACGTTGTGACAAGGACACAATTTCTTGAGCCATCACCTGTTGCTTCACAGGATCTGTATTGGCAAGGAAACTAGAATCAGGAGCCAGAGCCAGGAATTGAACCAGATTCTCCAATATGGAACATAGATGTTTTACTGCTACGTAAAACATCCACCGCCTTTAAGAAAACTATACCAATACTAGTGTCTATATATTTGCCAGATTATGATTTCCTTAGGTAAAATTCTAAGTAATTAATCTGAGATAAAAGTATCTGGATCCATAATGCCAAATCACTCAATGGAAATTATTAATTTGCTGGTGGCCTTGTTTTGTATTTTGGTGAGCCTCTTGATTTAGATGGAAACCAAAAATGCTTAACAAAATCTGACACCAAGCTTACAGTAGTTTTTCATGCAACTTACTGTAGTAGAAGTAAGTGAGCTATGCAAATGAAGTGTAAATCCCATATTGCCATTTCTGCAAATCACTGTCACTTTGAGCTTCATTTTCTTTATCTGCAAAATCAATTGTTATATTATGTCTTGTTATAAATGTACTAAATAAAGTGAACATGCTGTAGAGTGCCTGGCACACAAATGTTCAACGAATACTGGTTTCTGTATTCCTTTATTTCCTCCCTAATTCCTTCACATTCATAATTGATACACAAATGAGTTATAAATATGAAAAGTATATGTTTATATTTCCACCTTATGTTTCTTTATGGATCTCTGAAGAGGAGATTGCAGTTGTAAGAAAGAAACTATTAGAAACCATTATAAATAAGACAAGAATGGTAGCCATCTGAAGTCTTCATTAAGTGCCATTCCTAGAAATGTAATGGGAGTTGCATTTGTAATATGAAACCAAAGATTTCTTTTTTCTTTTTTTTTTTTTTTGGACAGGCAGAGTTAGACAGTAAGAGAGAGAGAGACAGAGAGAAAGGTCTTCCTTTTTCTGTTGGCTCATCCCCGCAAGTGGCCGCTATGGCCGGCGCTGCGCCAATCCGAAGCCAGGAGCCAGGTGCTTACTCCTGGTCTCCCACGCGGGTGCAGGGCCCAATGACCTAGGCCATCCTCCGCTGCCTTCCCAGGCCAGCAGAGAGCTGGACTGGAAGAGGAGCAACCGGGACAGAATCCGGCGTCCCAACCAGATCTAGAACTCGGGGTGCCGGTGCTGCATGCAGAGGATTAGCCAAGTGAGCCACAGTGCTGGCCCAAAGATTCTTAATCAAGAACATTTATTAAATTTTCTTTAATCAATGGTTTTGTTCATGATCTCACATAGGAATCAGAGAGGTAGTGCAATGGCCCAATGATATCATCAGGGAACAGATCTTTTCCTTCTCTTTATCACACTCTGCAACTTCACTGAAAGACAGACTCTTGTAAAACATGAAGTCTAGGGCAATTCTAAGTATTGCATCGCAACAAAGTACCATATAGAGATAGAGGAGGGCCTGCATCCCATATCAGAGTGGCTGGTTTGAGTCTGGCTCCTTCACTTAACATCCAACTTGTCACTCATGTGCACCCTGAGAGACAGCAAATGATGGTCTAAGTACTTGGTTCCCTGCCTCACATGTGGGAGATCCAGGTGGAGTTCTGGGCTCCTGGCTTCAGCCTGGCCCAGCCCTGGCTGTTGTGAGCATATGGGGAGTGAACCGGGAAATGAAACACCTCTCTCCATTTGTCTATCTGTCTCTCACTTGAAAATAAATTTAAAAAGATATATTTCAATAAAGAAATGTGTTGTAATAGATGCTCGTTCATTGTCTACTGTGTGTAAGGTATTAGGATCCAGGGTACAGATTAAGGAAAAAAAAGGAAAGAAATAAAAAAGGAGGTACCCATTTTAATCGAGCTTGAATTCTAATCATGACAAGGTCGGAAATAGGTAATGAATAAGGTAATTCTATATTGGGATAAAATCCATAGAAGGAATTAACAGGATGGTGTGTTCTAGAGAGTACAGTGGAAGATCAGTAAGTTGAAATCCAGAACCATCTTTGTCTACAACCCAGAGAGAACCATTGTAGGCAGAGGGAATGCAAATGACAGATTTTGAAGGAAATTTGGCCAAGTCCTGAACGTGAAATAACCATGCTAGAGGTGGTTTGGGATGCTAACACAGCTTAGCATGGGTGGAGGGGCAAATTGTTGTAGGCAGTGGAGGGCTTGAATTTATTTTAAATGCAATGAGGCAGAGCGGTATTAAGTAAGGGAGTGACATAATCTGACTGGACAGAGGCCAGAATATTCATGGATGGAAAACAGAGACAGCCTCCCTGATACATTCTACTTCTAGCAATAGAGAACAAACCAATCTAAGAGCTATCATCACTATCATGATATTGTCTTTATTGGCTGGTGTACAGTCTCGGGTGAAATCCATGTCAGAGTTACATATTTACAAAATGACAGCAAAGCTTTTGGACTCTGTGTCCTTTCTAATTAAGAGTATAAGAAAAGCTTATATCATAATATAGTGTCTTATTGGAAGCAGCACTTCTGCCATGGGTTGAGAAATGGATTCATGTATGTGTGGTTCCCTATTTGTCTATCAAAGATCAGAGTTAGGGAAGGTAAAGAGCCTACTCATGAGAAAAAAAATGACTATAAAGTCACAAATATTACTGCCAGACTTTCAAAATATGTGTCTTTGACTAGAACAGGCTTTTTAGTACAGTAGGGTAGGTCATGACTTAGGGTGCCCACATCCTGTACTGGAATGCCTAGGTTTAAGTCCAGGTTCTGGTTCTTGATTCTAGCTTCCTGCTAATGTGCACCTTGGAGGCAGCAAGTGACAGTTGAAGTGCTGGAGTTCCTGCCACCCACTTGGGAGACCTGGATTGAGTTTCAGGTTCCAGGCCTGGTCTAGCCCTGCCTGGTGCAGGCATCTGGGGAGGGAACCAGAGGACAGAAGATCTGCCTCTGCCTCTGCCTCTGCCTCTGCCTCTGCCTCTGCCTCTCCCTCTCCTTCTCCCTCTCCCTGTTACTATGCTTTTCCAATAAACAAATAAAATTAAAAATTTTTTTGGTTGGGAAAATTAATGAACAAGACTTTAGTTTTCTAGAATGACAAGAGTTGGTGTGAGCATTGGGAGCTGATGGTGATAGCAAAGGACAATACTAGTGAGATTAATTTTAGCAGTAATGATAGCTATAATGTATTAAATACAGATTGTGAAGTTTGTTTGAAGACTTGGAGATAGCAAGGGAAGTTGAAAATATCCACTTTGACTCTAAAGCTCTGTGCAAGGGGACTTCAAATAGTTCATGAAAAAATGAATTCACAGATGTGTATTTTGGTGCAACTATTTTTTGGTGAGATCCACGTACAGCTTCTCATAAAAATCACTTCTCCTGAACTTCTTGAAGGCTCACTTGTGTGTATGCCCTCCCTAACCACCTGGTTTTTTTGATTTTTCAGATTCACAATACCTAACTTGTCGAATGCAGAACTGCACCGAGACCAACAAGAATAAACCTTTCCCAGGCTACATTGACCCAGACTCTTTGATTGTCCAGGATGATTATGTGTTTGTGCAGGTATGACACAGCCACTTCTACTGATCGTCTCAAAGCCATGCGTGTCTCCTACTTCTGTTCCTATCGCAGCTGCTTCTGCTGCTTACATTCCCCAAAAAGTGGATGAAGGAAAAACAGAAGTAAAAATAAAGTGTTCCCTTTTCAGCAAAGGAGCGTTACTGAGGATAGAAGATTCTGTACCAGTCGAATAGTAGTGAGTTGCTTCGGTCAGAGTCCGGAGGCCTTATAAACATGGGGTCATGGTGGCCTCGCTGAGTGTTAAGACTGTCTCAGAGGGTGCACAGTTCCACTCAGCCCCTTGCCTGCATTCCACAAAAGCTCCTGGGCACTGAGAGGCCTGAGCAGGTGTGGCGATCTGTGCTTATCAGGGCAGTAGTCAGATCAGCCTCCTCCCCGACACCGCCATGCAGAAGTGGTGAGGTGGCTACCGGTGTGGGGAGGCCCCTGCAAGAGAGAGGGGGAGCAGCCTCTGTTGTCCTACACCGACTGCAGTGGTAAAAGGACTTTGCCAGAGATGTGTTCAGCCAGGCGTTTTACCTCTAAAGAAGGGTGGGAAACAGCTTTTGAAGCTGAAGTTTCACAGATTCTTAAAAAGTACTGGGGAACGAGAATGCTTTGCTACTTCTCAACATTTAAGGAGAATTTTGCCTTGCTTGGACAGTGCATTTAAAATTTCTCACTGCTTTCCACTTTAAAAATGACAAAGGTGGAATCGTTAAGTAGCTGACATATACATATTCACTACAACTAAAACACACGTGATTGTATTATGTGGATCAGAAATTGCAGTTTACAATATGTAATCACGTGTTTTTGGAAAGCAAATTTTTCAAATGCCTGACATTAGCCTGTGTACTTTTAAATTGTTTCACATGTGGTTTTATATACACACATGCCTACCTCATTTCCATTTTCTTCAAGGAAATGAGTAATCAGTACTCTGATAATTTCAGTATCAAATTATCAAATGACATTCAAACAGTTGCAAGGGTTGGTTCTGTCTGTAATTCATTTCTCTATCCCAGGAATATTTTCTGGTTTCTAGTGACAGTTTATGTAAAATCCAGATATATGACTTACAAACAAGAATCAATTCAATAGTTGGAATTTCATATATTTTCTACCCATGCCACTATGAATATGATCTTGGAAGCCAGCGCTAGGGCTAAGTGGAGACCTGCTACCCAATGGGGAAGACTGTTTCATTCCAGTCATATCCCCAAGTGTCTGATAAACATTCACTGCAAGCATTTGTCTACATTCTGAGAAGGCAAGACTGCAGCTGATGGTGGGTGCCAAATATGCTACCAGAGATAGGCTGCTCAGGGGTGCTTTGCACAAAGGACAGTTCATACCTGAGACAGAGTAGTGGTAAGCCAGGTAGCAAAGTGTAATGAAGAGAAATAATGAGGAGAGAGTACACCTCGTAGGCCAGGCAGGCATCTCACGAAAGGGCTGAGAGCCCAGTCTGTATTCAGACTGGAGTTTTTATGGACATGACTAGGAGTCCCCTGTTCCTTCTCCCCTCCTCCCCCTTCTGGGAAATGGTGAGTAGGGGATTTCTGGATATAGAGTTCCAGAAAATCCTCCCAGGATGTGTTCAGCATGGGGTTATTGGACCTAATAGCCTCTGTGGTACAGGGCAGAGGAAAATCCCCAGCGGGAGGGCTTAACCCCATCTAACAGGGCTATAGCACAAGTGCAGTGACTTCAGGTATAAATGCTGGTCTGCTTTCAGGGCTTGTTTCCTCATTTTCTCTAAATATTCTCATTTTCTTCCACCCCTCTTCCACACCTAGGCTCATGTCTGCCTAGCTACCTTAGCATATCTGTGCTGGTTGAGAGTGGCTCCAAGGAGAGCGAATTGGCAGTACTACCCTTGACATCATGACTTGCATGTTGTCATGCCAAGGTGGAGACTGCTTCCTCTCACCTGCCCCCACCTACACCAGGTTTTGTTGGGCTGTATGTCATGGACAAAATCAGGGGAGTGGGCTCACACACTTGTTCTGGGAGTTGGAAAACAGGAGTAGATTTATAGCGGGACCCCGGTTTGGCTTTCCAACTAACATGCCGGCACTGCTGTGTATGGAACAAGTGCATAGTCATCAGTGTGATACCATTAAACTGGAACTCAGTGCCCAGAGTTGTACAGTTCTCATTCTGCCATTTTCTGATCTGGACCATTTCCTTGTGATGTGACATGAGGACTGTTTGTAGGATAATTGACTTGGAGCTGGGAGTTGGGCTGCTGATAGGCAATGAGCCAGTATTTCCGGAGGCTTATATCATTTGAAAAATAGTGGAGAATGTGTCTGGATTCTGAGACAGTTCATATTAAAGAATTGTGCTGTCATCCAGTGTGGTTGTATTTGGGCCCTCTGACCAACTCACATTCACTGTTGAAGTGAGTTTGAACTGAATACCAGTTGTTTATGCTTGTCTACTATAGGCATCTCTGTTGTTTTGTTGACAGCTACCCCTTGCACTCGGGGGACTGTTCTTGACCTGTGACCATTGCATTAGCTCCTCTCACTGTCTTGTTTTTCTGATCTAGTTGACATCAGGAGGAAGACCTCACTACTATGTGTCCTACCGAAGGAATGCTTTTGCCCAAATGAAACTTCCGAAATATGCTCTGCCCAAGGTATGGCCTGAGTCACATTCTGCATTTCACCATTTCCTTTGATTTCACATAGTCCACCCCCTCTGCAGGGGCCCTGTCAGGCTTTCATCGTTGTATATTACCTCTGTTTCTCCACTACTCTGCTGCTTTTTTTTTTTACCAGTCACATGATTCACCTTTATCTCTCAGCTCCCTCCCCCGTCAGTACCCCTCCTTCGTTTCTTCCTTTCTTTAGAATTCTTTCTGTAAGAGCATCCAAATAATCATTGTTTTGATTTTGCTTATCAATAGAAATGTTTACAAACCATATAAATTAGGTGTATATCAAGACAGAAAAAATATTTGAATTCATGGTCTATCAGTGCATCAGCAGGGATCTGTTTCTGTTACGTTATTATTGAGAATTGCTGCAGCAACATGGCTCTTTTTCTCGTTGGAGCTCACAAGGCTTGTTAGAGTCAGAGTTCTGAGTCACAGCTAATTAAAAAACAAAAACAAAAACAAAAACAAAAACTTCCCTAAAGACATAGGTTTTTGGAAGCAGCTGTAAAGGAAAAGTGAAAGATCCTCGCTGTTGGCATCCCTAGTTAAGTTTTGGGAAACACTGAAGGACTGCCTTAATATTGAGCGCCACCTAGTGGAGGTCAAGCTGACATGGGCGCTCAAAGCGGTGTATGTGGTGGTGTTGCCATTGTGGCATTTTTTTTTACTGTAAATTTTTTAAAATTTAACTCATACAAGTTTCATATATTTCAAATATGCAGATGTAGGAACATAGTGACACTTCCCCCCTACTCTCCCTCCTGCCCATGTTCCATCCCTCCTCCTCTTCACTCTCATATTCTCTTAATTTTTACAGAGATCTATTTTCAGTTTACTTAATGACCAGATATTTTAACCTAGTATTCCTTCATCTTAGAGCAAGGAAATATATATGGCTTGTAATAGAAGACTCTACAAGTTTAAAGAGAATTTTAGCTCAACTTTTCATTGAGCAAAAATAACGTGAAGAACTTTTTTGTTCTTTTTGGGGGCAGTTGTGTCTTTTTCTCTCGTATTTTCAGCCCTGACTTTGTAATATGCACTCTTGGAGCGACAACAGCTGGCTGACCAGGAAATTATATGATAGACATACACAAGATAGAGTCAATGGCAACAGACTGCTCTGGCTTCTCCAGACAGAATTCTCTATCTTGATTTTGAGTGTTACCCTTACCCTAACACAGTGAACGCCTCTTTCACCTCAGCCCATAAGAGGCAATAACATTCATAAAATTGAACTATTGACTCAAAGAATTCCATCTATCTTAGAAATCATTATTTTTAGATGCTAAAAGATTAATTACCAGTAATTTCCAAGGGCTGTATGTCCTGTAGCTGTGTCTACATACATTTAAATGCATTTTTCTCTTGATTTGGCTTAGGTTTTTTGTTTGTTTGCCTTTTGCCCAATAAAACAAGAATGTAACAGCATTGAAGTTGTACCTGAGATTTAAATTCTAGGAAGCCAGTATAAAAAAGGAAAACTGTTAAAATTCTCTTTGGTGAGCTCCTTGGAAGGTTTATGGGGAGATGAACACATTACCTTTGTAAATGTAACAGAGCTGGTATTTTCCCCATTGACCATTGAAATGAAGTAGTTGACTTGCAAGATTTGCACCTTTAAAAGCCAGAATTATACTCAGTGCAGTGAGATTCTCTTGTTCAAGATGTGTGTAGAAATTGAGACAAAATCAGGAATGAGCAGAATTGAGTGACGTCATGCTCACTTTTGAGTGAGTATACTCTTTAAGTGGAACAAGGCTTGGCCAAAAGCAAAAGCTGTTTGCGGCAGAGTTGAGGCTAGAACTCAAATCTTTTGACTTCCAAGCTAGTGTTTTTTATACTATGTATTTTTCCCTTCAAGGTAAATTAAAAACTTGTTATTAAACCATGCAGTTATTTCTATCCCACCCCAAATTTGAAATACTAGCAGGAGCTTCAATACAAAATGTCCCAGAACTGGTAGGCTAAATTCAATGAAGCTTTCATGGACCCATTGCTGGAGATTCGGGAAACAGATACTTTGCATTGCCTGTTCACAGCCATCACACAGATCACTGCTGACAGTTAGCCCAGTAGTATCTTGCCAATCTGGAAGGAACAATTTTACTTTGAACCTGAAATAGGGTGTCTGCTCCCCTTCCCCTGTTCTCCCAGATAAGTGCATTCCTTTACTCAGCTTCATGTGTGCTATAAAGGTGGGGGAGTCAGTGAATAATTTAGCTTGTTCTCATAAAACAGGAGCCAATCAAGCAAAAAATGGGATGTTTGGTCCAGGTTTATTATGAAGGCAATGAGATTCTTCATCACAATGCAATTACACCTACAAAGAGAAGCCCCAGCCTTGGGTGGTGTTGATCTGTAGTAAAGACATACATATTTCCTCGCCTTCTATCAGAGCAGAACTGCTGCAGCTGGACGTAAGCAAAAATTCGCGCCGGCCAAAGGAACTGGGACAAACATGTCAAATTTCTTTAACCATCCACTGCCATTGTTTCAGCTCTTGAAAGAAGAGTTATTCTGATCTGTGCCAAAAAAATTCATGAGATAGTGGTAAAGAATGACCAGGGAAGGTGATGGGTAAATTTTAATGTTACTGATGCCTCTGAGAGCATGTGGCACTCCAGACAGGGAGACGGAGTGACAGTCTTCCCTTTTGTAACTTACTTGGAGCTCATTCTGAGCTACTCAAGTGAGATAAATGAGGCAATACATATGAAAGTGCTTTGAGCATTTTGGAGGACAGCTACTCTATAAAAGCAAGGTAATATTATTATTAGTATGGATCTGGTTGTCTCCGTGGTAGAAGATCGATGGGCACAGGGATACCAGTGGTGCAGAGGCTGCCCAATTTACAGCAGATGACCCGGATTCTGGACCAGGATTTGTCACTAACTTGCTTTGAAACCTTGAGCTGCTTGGCCAATTTTTCTTTCTATCATTTTTCTTGAATAAGGAATTGATGTTCACAACAATATTTTTTCAGCAGTGTTTACTCGGAGTAAAATGTCCTTACTGATCCTTCTTGAAAATTTGGTTTAAGTTCTTAAAAAACCAACTCCATTCTGGGTTCATTCTATGTGACAGCAGCTCTGTAGGGTGTTAAGGGTTCTGGGATGTCCTATGGTCAAGAAAGCTCCTTAATTCAGAATTAATTAAAACAGTTAAGAAAGGACCTGGCTCCCCTTTTTAATTTATTGAATTCTAATAATGTTCTATAGAATAGACTTTAGCGAATTCTCTGATGGAGGATCTATAAAATTTCACATTTGCTAAAAATTTTTTGTGACTCAGTGAAAGCATTCGACATAAAGGAGAAGAAACATATTTTCCTGATAGAGGAAGAGGATTTAGGTAAGAAAAAATAAAATGTATTTAATTATGTCATTTGAAATATTTGGACATATTTATTTATTTATTTACTTGTTTATTTATTTATTTATTTGACAGGTAGAGTTATAGACAGTGAGAGAGAGAACCAGAGAGAAAGGTCTTCCTTCCGTTGGTTCACTCCACAAATGGCTGCTACAGCCGGAACTGCGCCAGTCCGACGCAAAGAGCCAGGTGCTTCTCCTGGTCTCCCATGCAGGTGCAGGGCCCAAGCACTTGGGCCATCCTCCACTGCCCTCCTGGGCCACAGCAGAGAGCTGGACTGGAAGAGGAGCAATCGGGACTAGAACCCGGCACCCATATGGGATGCTGGTGCCGCAAGTGGAGGATTAACCAAGTGAGCCACAGCACCAGCCCCTGGGACATATCATTTTTGAAAAGTCTGTTCAGAGCCGGTGCCGTGGCTCAATAGGGTAATCCTCCACCTTGCGGCGCTGGCACACAGGGTTCTAGTCCCAGTCGGGGCGCCGGATTCTGTCCCGGTTGCCCCTCTTCCAGGCCAGCTCTCTGCTGTGGCCAGGGAGTGCAGTGGAGGATGGCCCAAGTACTTGGGCCCTGCACCCCATGGGAGACCAGGATAAGTACCTGGCTCCTGCCATCGGATCAGCACCGTGCACCAGCCGCAGCGCACCGGCCATGGTGGCCATTGGAGGGTGAACCAACGGCAAAAGGAAGACCTTTCTCTCTGTCTCTCTCTCTCACTGTCCACTCTGCCTGTCAAAAAAAAAAAAAATGAAAAGTCTGTTCAATGAAGTTAGATTATAGGAGGAGAAAGAGAGACTGACTGTCAGCTCATATCTGGAGATAGCCATCTTTTCCATTATCATGATATATCCAGTTCTCTAAGTGACCCAGATTTAAAAAAAAAAAAAAAAAGCTCAATGTGTCTGTATTTTAAGTTCCAAACCTATGAAATTAAGGTTTGTGTAAGGTGAGTTGGTGTAGGCGATCTACTTTAGTCTTCCAACCTAATGCTATTTAATCAAATATCTATTGAGAGGACACCAGAGGTTCGCTAGTGCAAAAATTTACTCCAAAGACACAAAGGTAGAAATGCATGAGCCAGAATAGTGTTGAAATATTAAACTTGAATTCAGGGATTATATTGCATCCGCTGATAAGGAAGAAGGTGAGATGTGTGTCTTAGATGTTTACATCCAAGGACCCAAAGATTGTCACAGGTTTGTGCCAGTCTCTATCTTTTGATGCTGTTTTCAGGATTGACTTCCTTTTGCCCCCGAGATACATCTCCAGCAGTTCTATAGATTGTAAGCAGAAAAAATTCTTGTTTTTACTGCTTACAAACTAATTAAAAGTGTGTCCCCCACTAATAGTTTCCTAGTTATTCTAGAAATATGTCTTATTCTTTTTGCTTGTGTTGCAGGCCCATCCCTGATTTGGTTACTGTTGCTAGGAACATTGAACATGCTGAATGTTAGGCATAAAAGCTCACTTCTGGTGTTGAGGGTAGAAAAAGTACCAGAAGAATTTGGATTGGATACAGGAAGAAAATAGGTCTTAAAGGGGTAAGGTTCTTTCTCAAAGAACATCAAGCTGTAATTATGAGAAGAAACATAAATAGACACTAGGCTGATATGAGCAGTAGCCAACTTCCATACTGAACCTTTGTTTGCATTATTAATAGCATGAAATTAATGGGTATGATTCATTCTGGGCCTCTCCGCTAGGAATTAATTCTATGAAAACATTACCAAACTCTAGAAAATGTCATGTGCAGACTGAATAAAGGTGAGAAACACAAGCCCTGTGGGAGACTTCTTCCTTTTGGAATCATAGGAGTTAACTGTGTTCAAGACTAAAGATGTGGGAGAGTCTTGTGTCTCTATTTCTAGATCAGAGTCAGAGCTGAATTGCTGATTGACTAATGGAGGGAGCATAGGTGTATATTAGAATGAGGAATTTTTAAGTTAGGTAGAACTCCTCGGGATTGTTACTATGGAAGATTGTCAGATCTCCTGAAGTTCTTCAGGGATGCACTCGTGTCCATCCTGGATGAACTGAGTTCTAAGCTACACAAAGGAAAAGAATCTTTCCAAATGATTCTTCTGCTTTGTTATTGTTTGCCGTTTTGTCAAAACCACTCTGAGGTTTTTGACCGTTTTTGAGATTTTTTTTTGCTTTGTTTTCTTTTTGTTTTGGAAATTACCCCATGTCTAACACTTTGGTCAAAGGGTAAAAGGCAGCCAAGAGTATATGAAAAATTATCTCCTAACAGCAAGCCTTGGTCTGAGACAGCAAGCTGTGGTCTGTGTTGGCCTCTACTTTTGTGGGGTTCTGAGTGGGAGGAGAAGGGATTTGGAATCTATCTCAAGGCGTCCTCTCTCTGTTACCACGCTACCATGCCCTGTTTCTGTCTTCCAGGAACACAGGGCTCTAACAGCATCAGTTATTCTTAAAATTGTCACCCTTCTTCTTTACCTAAGGTTTCCTGCAGAGCAACACAGTGCAGCTTTTAAATAAGCAGCCAAGTCCTGGGACAGTCACAACATGAGATCAGTGCTGGGGGATTCCTGGGTGAACATTTCCCTCCAGTGGGCTCGGTGGGGTCTGCTGAACCTTGCAGCAGAGCTTCGCAAGCTCCAGGATCCATACCAATCACTTAGGGATCTTACTAGAATTAAGATTTTCATTAGATAATTGAGGCCTGAAGTATTATGTGTCCAACAAGCTTTCAGGTGATGTCCATACTGGTGGTATAGACCACGTGGCGAGAAGTAGAGTTTGTTTTCTGGTTGTCTCTCCAGCTTTCCCTCATATGTGCCCCACATAGGCCTCCTGGGTAAATACTATGTCTGTGGTTGGCAAATACATAAAAATGATTGATCCTTTACTGTCATAAATATTCAGGAAAATATTCTTTATCTGCTGAGTCAATTAGATTACAACTGAGCTACACTTATCCCTCTTATTTTTCTCATGGCTTCTCTGCCTAATGCCTTAAGTGACACTTAACCAAATAATTATTATTTCTCACATATGCAAAAGGAAACTGTCTCCCATTAAAGTGCTTATTCTGATATTCCTTATTGGACTCCACACTCTTTGGATGCCTGTCAGATTAATGTATAAAACTCTTCTTTGTTTCCTGTCTTGTGTCTTTTTTCAGGATATGCACGTCATCAGCACAGATGAGAACCAAGTGTTCGCAGCAGTTCAAGAGTGGAACCAGAACGACACGTACAACCTCTACATCTCAGACACGCGTGGAGTCTACTTCACCCTGGCCTTGGAGAATGTCCAGAGCAGCAGGGGCCCCGAGGGGAATGTCATGATCGACCTCTATGAGGTATGTCACAAGGCGTACCTGGTCCCAAGTGACAGCGGTACTCACCCTGGCCAGTGAAGGGCCAATGTGGGCTGTTACACTGACGATTCTAATGTCGGTTCCTATGTGAACTCATTGCACGTGGAAGACAGGGAGAGATTTGCAGCATGCAGCACATTTTTATTTAGTTTGAACCCACAGAATATCTCTAAGATGGATTCTTTTCTGACCATATCTACAGGACATGAATCTCCAGAGAAACTGGAGTTTCTGGGAGATTGTCAGACAGTTAAAGGATTTTTTTAATTTTATTTGACAAGTAGAGTTATAGACACTGAGAGAGAGAGACAGAGAAAGGTCTTCCTTCCGTTGGTTCACCCCCCAAATGGCCGCTATGGCCGGCGCTGCACCGATCCGAAGCCAGGAGCCAGGTGCCTCCTCCTGGTCTCCCATGCGGGTGCAGGGCCCAAGCACTTGGGCCATCTTCCACTTCCCTCCTGGGCCACAACAGAGAGCTGGACTGGAAGAGGGGCAACTGGAACTAGAACCCAGTGCCCACATAGGATGCCAACGCTGCAGGCGGAGGATTAACCAAGTGAGCCACGGTGCCAGCCCCTAGTTAAAGCATTTGAACAGGAGTGATCATGTGCGTTTCATATTTGAAAACAGCTTTTAAAGGTAGACAGGGTGTTATGTGAAGGGGTGGTAAACAGCATTTCCTTGCTCTCTCAGAAGAAAGAAGGAGAAAGGGGTTTATGGCCATTCCATAAGTAGTCATACCCTTTGGATGTGAAGACGACTCTAACTAAATAACCTCCCCTGGCTAATGATCTTTTCCCATAGGGACAGGGAGTGATGGCTTTTCTCCTAAATTGGAAAATTAAACCAATCAATAACAACAGCAGTAACAACAAAAACAAAACTAAGTTTACCAGATTCCTCCTGTTTCTCAAAATTACCAGAATTCAAACTAAAACCATGTGTGGTGGATCATTCACCTTCCAGGACAAACACCAACTTTAATTGCTGCTGGAGGCACAGTTAGGTAGAAAGGAAGCCGTGATTTTGAGATAGATTTTAGCCATTTGTCAGTGTTGTCATGTGCCATGAAGGATTTAAAATGAGCCATTTAAAAACATATTCAGAATTTGGGAAGTGCAATAATACACCTATATTCTGTGTAAAAAAATCTAAAATGGATTCAGTTATGTGCAGACATAATGATTCCTCCATTTGGCTGAGTATGAAGTTCAAGAAGTCAGTTATATTCAGTGTAAAAGAATCAAATTTCACTTAGGAGATGTAAACCTGTTGTAATCCCTTTTAGAGCTTTCTATCTTCTCCTGGAGTTTGTCAGGATTTACTTCTAGCATTTAAACTTCTTGTCTAGTTAATGGCATGTTAGTAAACTTTATACCCAATTTGGAGTCCAAGTACTTGTAATGAAGACTACAACAGACTAGCATTGGCGCAGTTTGTATGTATATATTTAGAAAAATGTACTTCAAACTTTTTAATACTTTCACATATTTTCCCACTTCCTCTCTTGCCCATGTTTCAGATAAATATAGTATCATATATCTCACCCTCAAATTGAACATGCGTTTTAGAAAACATTTACATATTCTGATGATTTTGTTTCCAATTTATTTTAGATAAAATTTTATTTAATTTTTGATTCAGGCTGCATGGGTTTAAATCCTAGCTAGGAGACTGGCACTGTGGTGCAGTGGGTTAAGCCTCTGCCCGCAACGCAGGCATCCCATCTGGGTACTGGTTTGAGTCCCAGCTGTTCCACTTCGGATCCAGCTCCCTGCTAATGTGCCTAGGAAAACACTGAAAGATGGCCCAAGTGCTTGGGCCCCTGTATCCTTATTGGAGACTCCGATGAAGCTTCTGTCTGCTAACTCTCATATGCCCCTGGCTATTGTGGCCATTTGGGAAGTGAACCAATGGGTGGAAGTTCCCTCCTTCTCTCTCTCCATCTCTCTCTTTCTCTCTCTCTCTCTCTCTCTCTCTCTCCCCCTCTCCTTCCCTCCCTCTCTCCCTCCCTCCCTCTCTTCTCCCTCCCTCCTCCCTCCCTCCTTACTCCCTCTTCACTCAGTCACTCACTCATTCTCTCTGGAACTCTACTTTTCAGATAAACAAATAAATCTTTTTTTATTCTTTTTTTTTTTTGACAGGCAGAGTGGACAGTGAGAGAGAGAGAGAGAGAGAAAGGTCTTCCTTTTCTGTTGGTTCACCCCCGCAATGGCCGCTGCGGCCAGGAGCCAAGTGCTTCTCCTGGTCTCCCATGCAGGTGCAGGGCCCAAGGACTTGGGCCATCCTCCACTGCACTCCCGGGCCACAGCAGAGAGCTGGCCTGGAAGAGGAGCAGCCGGGACAGAATCTGGTGCCCTGACCGGGACTAAAACTCAGAGTGCCAGCGCTGCAGGCAGAGGATTAGCCTATTAAGCCGCAGCGTCGGCCAAAACAAATAAATCTTTAAAAAAAAATCCTAGCTAGGTTACTTGTATATGTTCTTGAGAAAAGTTCAATATCATCTAAACTCCGATTTCCTGTTTTTAAATATGGAGATAAACATGGTACCTGCTGGATAGCATTTCTTTGAAAATGAAGTGAGTTTATCCTTATAAAGTGCTGAACACTATGCCTGAAATACAGCAATATCAACAAATTAAAGATAGCATAATTAATATAATGTTCTAGTGTGTCTAAGCACCAATGTATTATTCATATAGTCTTAAAATCTGCCCATGTGCAATACATTTCCGTTGTTTTAGATTTCTGCTTCTTTCCTTATTGCAGTTAGCCTTGCCATATGACATTCTCAACACCAATTCTTTGTCTTCTTATAAACAAGTGTAAATTGCCACATTTCTTTCCTCGTTTGTAACTTCCTTAAAAACGTTTAAACTTGATATATACTGCATTGAAATGCTATGCACTGCGTTGCCTTGATTCAGCACTTACCAATGAAGAAGCTGGCTCCCAGGATCTGGCTGATGTGAAGACAAAGCAGCTTCCCTGACTTAATGTTACCCTTTGCTTTCCTGAGCCTAATTCTGTCCTTGGTCTCTCAAAAACATTTTTGATTTTAGGTTGCTTTATTTCTTTACTGATTATCCTTGCCCCTCAAGTCAACATGGAGTGAATTCTCTGGATAAATTTTGTTTTCTGCCAAAAACAGAGATCATTTTAATTGGTCCCTAGATGATAGAAAAAATGACATATTTGGGCAAGAATGACTTTGCAGTGTTCTGTTATTTGCAACGATTTTCATGAATGCTTTCCTGAATTCAAACGTCAGTAACAGATATGGAGTGAGAAGAGGAAACAGGGTGACCTCTTTACATGGCAAACATCCCTTTGTTAATCCTGTCCCCGTTTGCATCTCTCTTGTGGTTGGCTACTTGTAGGAAACTGCTGGCGCTGTTTGTCATCACTCTGAGCAGTGGTGTGACTGCATTCTGGAAAGGTGTTCTGCATTCTGGGACTTTGTTTTATTACCCTGACAGTTCATAGCAACTTGAATTGAAATTGATGTGATCAGAACGGCAGTGCCGTATCTGCTGATTACATAGATAGAAAGAATATTGGCTGACACAGAGCCTGGCACAAATTTTCCCTTAAATCTGATTGTTCTGGCTTGCAGGAATCTGAAAGCCATCCAGTAAGAATTTCCCAGTAGAATTGCAATGAATGATGAGAGCTTAGAGATAAACGAAAAGTAAGAAAATCCATAAATGAATTAATGAGAAGCAAGAATGAGCAGCACACAAGATGGGGGTGATTGTGATAAAATACTTGGAGGGCATGTCTGCTCACGTTTGGGGTGACTGAGGAGAATGACATTCGCTCTTTGCCTGCTTCTGCGTGCCAAATCCCTACTTTCTGCATTGCGTGCTCCTTAAGCTCTTTTAGCAGAGGCAAACTATATAATGTGTAAATGTGTAGATGTATCTCTGCCTCAAGGATAGGCATAGTTGACGGTCTGTGTGGGAAATGAAGAAGGAAGCATAATTCTTACTAAAAAACCAACTATTTTTTGAACACAACATTGAAAACTGGATACAAATATGATGCTGTCTACATTAGCGCCATACATGCATATGGGATATATGGGATGAGATGGCAAAATGTTGGAGACAAAGTATTTGGGGACTATCTCCCAAGGTATATTTATTGAAATACTGGAATTTTCTCTCAGTGTTAGTTGGTTATTGCACACAGACTCATTCCAGAGAGTCAAGAAATGCAAGGTAGGCAAGTTGGCTAAGGAGCAAAAGTACTAGAAATAGATTTTTTGTTGATGAATATCGTAGTAATAATAACCAATATTTTGTATTTGATAAGTAGTAGCACCAAGATTGAAAGACACTGAAATACATGATAAATAGTGTTGGACTTTGTACAGCGGTGACAGGGGTTAAAGTCAGCACAAAGAGAATCAATAGTTGAGTGCTCTGGTTTACGAACTACTTTATTTATTTATTTATTTATTTTTTAGAAGTTTATTTATCCATTTGAAAGTCAGAAATACACAGAGAGAGGAGAGGTAGAGAGAGAGAGGTCCTCCATCAGATGGCCCACCCCGCAATTGGCCGCAATGGCAGGAGCTGGGCTGATCCAAAGCCAGGAGCCAGGAGCCTCCTCTGGGTCTCCCATGCAGCTGCAGGGGCCCAAGGACCCGGGCCAGACTCCACTGCCCTCCCAGGCCACAGCAGAGAGCTGGATTGGAAGTGGAGCAGCCAGGACCAGAACCAGTGCCCGTATGGGATGCCAGTGCCTCAGGCCAGGTGTCAACCCGCTGCACCACAGTGCCAGCCCCCTACATACTACTTTCTGAATCATGTCTTGAGTTACAGCTAAACTTTCCCAATCTTGTCTAGTGGACGGAATTGTGTAAGAAAAGCCTAAAAACAAGTGTCCTAAAACTTTGTCATTTTTGAATAATGCAAATGTTCCAGAGGCTTCTTGTGGATTTGGGAACAGAAGACTGCATACCTGATACGGACTAG